AAAGAGGACAAATGAAAAGTGAAGATCTAGAAATAGATTTACTTCAAATCCTATGTGCTTGCATATCTCCTGGGAACCTGAGAAATGCAGTGCATCCAAAGTGGTTTGAAGCACCTCAGCTCAAGTCACCTGAAAGAGCCAATGCAGCCTAGGGTGTTTGGAGCACATTGTCCAGAGTGAGCAAGAACTGAAGGAGATTCCGCCATGCAGGGTGGGAACAAATGCATGCCAAGCAGATCCATGTAAAATACTTGGGAATTCCTGACTTGTCAAGAAGGAGGAATTGTCCAAATGTCCTTCTGTGAGAACAGGGATGTTTTCTCCCATATTTGGTAAATACAGCAGCACAATTGATCTGCAATGACTCTCTTTCCCTAGCAGGTATGTGTCCACACATGCTTGTGGCTATAAACAACTGACATACATATTCTGGATGGCACCCATCCAGGACACATCCAAGACTGTATTGTACATTTGAGGCCCCTGGGTACCCCAGGGATATAATCTAAGGACAAAATGATGCCCAGGGTTTCTGCCCTCAGGACTGAGATTGGCCTATTCAATCTTCTTGAAGAGGAATGTAGTAGTAAGATGACACGGAGTCTGAGGTACTAACTTTCTGGGCACTTCAGCTATGTTTGGGATGAACCAAAACCCCCTCTCTACCACTGCAGAGAAAACATGGACTGAAGACATGAAGGAAACCAGACTCTGCCCATAATGGTTGACACTGGTTGTCAACTTGGCATGTTCTAGAATCACCCAGGAGACACCCTGGGCATGCTTGTGATTTCTAGACTCAGTCAACTGAGCTAGGAAAACCCATCTTAAATGTGAACATCACCATTGTAAGGGCTTGGATCCCAGAATAAATAAAGAGATAGGTGCCAGTGCGCCTGTCTCTCTGCTTCCTGGCTGCAGATGAGGTGTGACCTCACCCATGTCAGGATGGACCAAACTGCAAACCTAAAGCCAAAACAACTTCTTCCCTTAAGTTGCTCTTTACAGGAATTTTTCACAGTGCTGAGTAATTGATACAGTCCCTGAAAACAAACTGGAAGAAAACCCTCCTGGTTGGGATAAGCAGTGGAAGTGAACTTTGTTTTCCATTTGCTTTTTCTCCTGGGGAGAAAAAATGGGAGAAATGTCAAAACTGCTACATCCTTTCTGGCTAGTGCACTTAGATTATCTCTGTGTTGCTATTTAATCTCACTGCAGCCCAGCTTTACCTATACGGGACAACATGGCTGAGCAAAATCTGAGAGTGACAAGCAGAATTAGGAGCAAACTTCAGACCCTAGTGTCAGGGAATCCGCACATGATCTCATGGCCATGGCTTCATGAACTGCTTCTGAAGCTCCTAGAAGAAAACTGATTGCTGACTGTGATTCCAAAAGGACCCACGAAGGAGCATGGGTTGTTATTCGGGACAACGGCTTCAGGAAGGTGAAAGGTGCCCCACAGACAGTGGGCTCCCACTGTTCCATCTGCCACCATATCAACCTTACCAAATAGTTAAAATTATATCAGTACACATTTATGAAATTATGGCACCCCTGTTACAAAAATCACTGTTTTATTTTAAGGTAGAGAATATCTCTAGTCAACAATATACAATCTAGAGAGTGTCACCAATTATCACGTGTTATTTCATTTACTCTAACCCAACCCATTGTAACAGCAAGGAAAACAAGGGTCAGAAAGATTAAGTAATGTGCCCAAGTTGGCAGGATGAATTAGTAGCAGTCAGGGTTTGAACTCTAACTTGGTTCCAAACCCTATGATTAGTCTACTACCTCCACCCCATAATGCCCACATCCACATAATTACAGCCTATGGAGAAAGGAGGAACTTAAAGACATTCAGTGCAACTTCCACCTGCTGCCTCAGTTCTCCAGTCATTGTCAGCCTACCTTAGTAATGCAATTTTCCTAAGACAGCCCCTCATGTTGCTGGGGAGACCCACTACTCCATGTGGGGTATCCTGAGGTTAAACCCTAGTACACTTCCCTTTGTGGCTTCAAAGCTCTTTATAGGATTTGAGTGTCCATTTCTAAATTAGGTGTCTCCTCCCCCCTCCAAGTATTCTTCAAAACCTCCATCTTCAGCACCTCTCTTTGTTCTTGGAGCGTCCCCTGAGTGTATGTGATGATTATCACATACTAGACTAGATTTGGAATCACCCAGGAGGTACACCTCTAAGCATACCTGTGAGAATGTTTTCAGAAAGGTTTAACAAGGATGGAAGGCCCACCCTCACTGTGGGTGATACAATCCAGTGGGCTGGGATCCCAGGATGAATAAAAGGGGAAGAAAGAAGTCGTCTGGGCATCAGCATTGTCGGCTGTCTGCTCCCCTCTTCTCAGATGAGAGGTGTCCAAGCTGCATGTTCCCACCACTGTGAACTCCGCCATGCCTTCCTCTCAAACTATAAGCCAAAATAAGTCTTACTTCTCTTAAGATGCTTTTTATCAGGCATTTTGTCAACACAGCTATTGGCAATAGCTAATACAAGGTTCAGAACGGGACTTAATTATACTCCAGGATGAGTCAAGGACAAGGTGGAGTAATAATATTATCACCCTTGTTGTTTGCATTGCTTCACTGCTTACTTACGTGTGATTTTAGAGAGATAATTCCCACTTACTAGCCAATATAGCTCCATAGTGCTAAAAGAATGTCTCCAAAATGCATGCTGTAAAGCACCAGGATCCAAGCAAGAGCAAAGAGACACTTAGCTTTCTAAAATGTGATCCAGTTTGAAATATACCACTTGGCTTAATCATCACGAGATGTGTGCCTTAGAAATACATGAACAAAACAAGTCAAGATCACTGCTACAAGTAGACAAAGGTCTTGTGGATGAAAGAGGATACACCTCTGAGAAGGTCTGTGAAAATGTTTTCAAAGAGGCTTAAGGAGGAGAGAAAGCCCGTCCTGAGTCTGCGTGGTACCATGCAATGGGTCCTCGGGGAGATCTGCAAAACGGATTGGGCATCATAGAAGTTCCCGTGCAAATAAAGAAGTTTTATTTTATTTATGACAGGACCCAAAGACAGGTTCTGGGCATAATAGACTCTGTTTGCATGCTAGGAAATGACATTGAGATTCTGACTTAACAACAATGTGCTTGCAACTCTGAACACCAGTGACCCTGCCTACAATGTATTTCTTGAAATCACTACTGTCCTTCAAGGGAGTTTGCTAAGATAAGGATCATCCAAGCTGCAGTATGGGCATGGTAAGTTCTGCCTGTAGGGGACTTGGAGGACAACGTGGGAAATAATGGGAGGGAAGGAGAAAAGACCAAGAAAGGAAGTTGCCAGGAAAAGAATAAATATGCAGATGCATCAAAGACAGATCCTATCACCCCTCCCTGGGACGCAAGACTGAGGGGGATTCAGCTGTAGCAGAAGAGCAGCTGACCCTGATGAGCTGCCAGGCCGGGCATCAGCGACCTGGGCAGTAACACCTCCCAGTGGGGCAGCAGCTAGCCAGAAGCTTGGGAGTACAAGGTCAGGAGTTCTACCCTGAATAAAAATCAGAATGAGGGACAAGTGGAACAAAGCATAGTCTAGGAAGTCAGATACATGGTCTAAGTCTTCAAATAATCCTGGCCTTTCCCATGATTCTACTACCTAAAAGCAGCAGAAATCCTACCCCTCAGTGGCCTGTTAGAAAGAAATGCTGTATCCTTGTTTAGAGATTCCTCTGGTGAGATGGGTCCCCAGGGGTTTAGGTCTTCTTCAGACTTCAATATTTCTCTCCATCATGTTTAATGATTCAGTTTGGAATATGAACCCTAAAGTGAACACCCTTGTTCCTCCACACCATTGCTAACCCTGTTCATTAACTCAGAGTGCCTACCTGAGAGTCCTCACTCCCCAAAGCCCCAGTGTGCCAGGGCCCCAGAGCACCAGCACCTCAGCCTTGAGACCCTCCATTTATTTCAGATCCTAAGGACAGGGAGGGTAGCCTTTAAGGGCCCTCCTATGGCCGAGAGGGTGAGAGTACCTAAGGCCATCCACACTGGCACAGGTGTAGGAACATGGACCAAGATAGGACTAGCAGGAAAATCATGCTGGGGAAAAGCCTAGGCCCTGTGCAAAGCAGTACATACACTGGAAAGGAAGAGAGCGTTCTCTGAGCTCATCAGAGAGGCCGATTTTGGAGAAAATCAGACGTTTATTATTTATGGGAGGCTTTTATTTGGTGGTGGGAAAGAATGGTAAGTATGTGGCACAGTATTCCTGAACTATAAATAACATGTAAATAGCTTTCCTAATGAAAACCTTACGGAGCCTGCTGTGTTGGGAGGGCTTCTAGAATACCAAAGCAGGGAGAGGGAAATGAAGCCTATCTAACCCACAGAACTTCCACCTGCCCTTCACTTCTTCCTTTCATTGTTGAGGGAGTTTCACCTCACAGATGAAGTAGAGAGCAAGGGAAGTTAAGCGCCTCCCCATACACTCTCCTGTGAAGCAGTTTGATGCTGATATGTCTGCCAGACTACAGAGTGCACCACACCCTCTTTCTGGAATCAAGCATGAGCGTGCCTAGAAGCAGCAATGACCTTTCTACAGTCTTCTCTGCAGCCAGGGCTTCAAAAGATGGCCTGTCTCCTGCAGTTAGCTTAAGTTCTTCAAGATAAGAAGGGCCCCTGTGTACTATGGATAACAGCTCAACAGAAGAGTGTCCAGGCACTGGGAACAGTACTGAAAGATAGAGAAGGCGCTAACACCACCTCGTGTGACTTTGGCTAAATCCTTTTTCTCTGAACTCCAGTTCTCACATCTGGAAACTATAGAGTTGGGTTAGATGGTCTGGAAACCCCAGCTGAGTCCTGGCAGCCTCCACACAGATGCTGGCATGGACATTGGTTGTCTGAAGAGGATGTCTCCCAAGAAGGGTTATCTTGCAGTTTCTCAGCCTGGCTGAGTCATTCAGTGCTCCCTCCTTGATGACCCCACACTGTCCTCTGTCTCCCATTTCACACTGACCTGCACTTCCCGTGTCAGAGCCAGCTCCAGTAGCTGGCCAAAGTGCTGGCCCAGCATGCTCAGGGTCTCACTCACGCAGGCCTTCATTGACTTCAGAACATGCTCATTTTCCACCTGGAGACACCTGGGAGGAAGAACCGCAGAGTGGGCCACCAGAAGGAGTGCTTGGTTGATCACAGCTGTGGCTAGGGTAAACCTGGACTTGCTCAAAGGCATGGTGTGTGGAAGATGCAGCTCCAAGAGAATCAGAGATGGAATCTGCCAGCTTGGTTTGTTCCCTGGTTTCTTGCTATAGAGAGAAGGGCTGGAATCATCACATTCGCTGCTATTGGGAAGTGCTATCACCAGAAAGTGGCAAAGTCAGACCTCTGGGTTCTCCCTGGAATAATGGGCTATCAATATGGCCAATTGTCTGGTCTCTGAGGTGCCTGAAGTGGAGGGGCAGTAGCTTTGGAGAAGGTAGCTAGAGTACAAGGCACCACTAATTAGCTCTCACTATAGCTTGTAAGAATCGCTGCCCATGAATAAACAAGATAGAAACAATAGCAATACCAACAAACATGTTAACATGGAAGGGAAAGTTTGGGGGATCCCACCTCTAGACAAAGAATTATAGGCAACAAAGGACTGTTGGAGAACTGGCCTCATTCAGGGGTAAGCTTCTTTTTTATTTTATTTTTTTATTTTATTAGTTCAAATTAGGAACAAGCTTGCTTCAGATGTCAATCCCTTCTCCCCTCTCCTCCCCACCCCCCAACATCCCATCTGCCCCCAGCCATCCCCTCTCTACTCCCCAGGCAGGGTAAGGCCCTCAAAAGGGGCTCCAGGGGTAAGCTTCTTATTGGTTGTTCAATCCATAGTGGTCAGCCTTGAAACCACATACATAGCACCAACAAAAATGGGCTCAGAAAGTTGTGTATATGTATATACATATGTTCACGTACATGCATACATGTATACACATGTATATGTATGTAATAATCATCATCAAAACAAAAGATACTATTAAGTTGAGAGTGGGAGTTGTGAGAGGCATTGTGGGAGGAAAGGAATGCGGAATGCGAAATGGTTCTATTTCAGTTTAAAACTTATTTTTAACAAGAAAAACAAAAGGATTTCTGCCACAATATGAAAAAAAAAGAAGCTGCTTCAAAGGTTTCCTTTCAGATAGGAAGAGTAGAGGGGAATAGATTGATATTCAATCCATGGCCTGAGAATATCTGCCCATAAAAAGGGACTCTCCAGCTTCCCACAGAGGCCGAAATCCAGGTTTGAGGTATGAAGGGCAAAGGAACATGTCAACACATTGAGTGTGTCCATATGAAGTTGAGTGTGCATCTGAGCGTGAGCTCATGTGTGTTTATGGTGTGATATAGGGGCAAGAGAATGTGAACAGATTTCTGTGATCTTACAAGTGTGTGTTTATGTGTCTGTGAGTGAGTGAGTACGTGTCTGTGAATATCTCTGTCTCCATGCATGTGTGCTTTCCCCTTACATGGGATCTTGTCTTCACTTTGTAGACCAAGAGGTCTCTCTAACCCTGAAGGAACCCTTTCCCCATTATGAGCTTACCCTAAACAATTTTCTACTAACACCCAAGGCTCTCTTCTAACTTTCCTTTTCCTTGGGCTCTGAGTGCAACAAAAACCTCATGGGAATCTTTTATCATTTTTTGTACTTTCTGGTTCTACTATGCAGCACTTGCTGGCCTAGAACTCACTAGGAAAACCATGCTAGACTAGTAGCAATCCTCCTGCTTCTGCAATTACAGACATGTATCACTATACTACTTCAAGATAATCCTTTGAAGTTTCTGAGAATGCCCAGAAAAAGAAACTCCCACCAACTATAAGCTAGTACAACCTCCTGACATTCAGAGAAGGTACCAGTCCCTCCCAGAGCAAGGAGGCCAGCTGGCCAAGCAGAGAGCCATGGGTGCACTTACCGCTGGGTGACTGCCGAGAGCTCAGAACATTTCTCCATGAGCAGCTTCTCTGCCTGTAATCAAGAAAGACCAGTGTATTCCATTGAGAATCAGCTGCTGTGCTGGGCACACGGGCCTGAAAGTGGAGGGAGAAACAGGCACAAAAACCAGAATTCACTGTGACCTGGGACATGGGTAGCTAAAGAGGCCAAGGTCAGATGCATCACGAGAGTAAGAAAAGGAAGCATACAATTAGTTATACTGTGAGATCTGGGAAACCTTGGAGAGGAAGAGGCATTTAAGCTGGGTTCAAAGAATGAACCGACACTCACTGCCTGCACAGTGAAGGCAGGAAAAGTTTAAGGTGAAAGATAAGAAAAAAAAAGGAGAAATCACAATGAGGGGGGTGGAGATTCAGTGGTTCACTGTTGGCTGTGGGATGATTCGAATGCATGACATGCTTTTCATGTAATAATTCAGTCATCCTCGTGGACTAAATACTGCTGTACTCACTGAGAGAAACCCCCAGGACACAGTGGAGTCAAGTGACTTACTAAAGTCACATAAAACAGACTGATAATTAAGGCCATACAGCCTGTACTAGAGCTCTTTCTGCTCTCAGTGGGCGTGCAGCTTAAATGAGATGTTCTTGGAAAGGAAACACCTGTCACAATGCCTTGCACAAAGTATACACTCAGTACATGTCCTCACTATGCTTCTCTACTTTATTACAAGACAGGGGAGACTACTGGCTAGGAAAGGTTCAGACTCCAGAACACAGGACAGCATCCCTATACCCAGCATCTACTAGCCCTACCCTGGCATGTCTGACCTGGCCCATTTCCTGTGAGGAGGTCCTGCTGATGGTGCTGTACTCGCTGACCATGGAGCGTGCATGGCATGTCAGACGCACACTCATACTGTGTACACGTGCCCAGCGGTCCTGGGCCAGCTTCTGCCCAATCCTGCGAAGCTCTGTGCTGATGACCCAGCCCCGCTTCAGGAGCAGCTGCAGTGGATCTCCTGGGCCGGGACCACCTGCTAGGATAAGGTCTCCTTGTGTATCTTCCTCCAAGCTGATGGGCTTTGCCTGCAAGACGCACATGCACTCACACTCAGTCATGAGCTTCAGATCCTCCATCCAGCGCTGGACCGAGTCCACCTGAATGAAGTGTAGCCTGCAACCAGAGAACAGTGGCAGGGTGACTGCCAAACACTCCACCTTTTCCAGAGAGTTCCCATCCCAGGCCACCAATGTTTGCTGAGCATCTGGTTTAAGCTCAGTTCTGTTTTTCCAGTTCTCACCATGATTTCTCATTATCACCACCAAACAGATAACAAGATGGAGGCACAGCGCTTTGAGGCCATGTCTCCTGAAAAAGGTATCAACAGTGGCATGAAGTGAGTTGTGGCAGACCTACATGGGCATAATGTGTGCACATTCTTAAAATAATGCCCTCCAGAAAGGTTAGCAATGAAAACAGTCTCCTAAAGAAGCAGTGTATACACAGAGTACAAGCAGAAAACAAGACAATGACAAAGACATGGTAATCTAAAGAAAATGTTCAAAGGAAAGGTAGACATCCTAAGGATCTTTGGTTGGGTGTGGCTTCAAAGCCTTTTCCTTGTGTCTTTCAACTTTCCTCTAACTTCCAGTTTTGCCATAATACAAATATAAACTTGTAATGAACCAGATTGACTGCATTTACTCCATCAGTAATTTCAGACATTAATGAAACACTGAACACATTATGAGTTCATTGTATTTAGTATCACCTGTATGTCAGGTACTATGCGGAAGCTGTCACAAGGAACTTTGGGGCAGGTTAAAGGAAGAAGAGGAGTGAGGAAGGAATAGACAGCAGCAGAACTCACCATCATTCCCCAGTGTGACAGGAAAGTTGGTGACAAACTCATTAGGCCACGGATGGACTGTGCATAAGCTGGGCACTGGAATTTATCACTCTCTGCTTCTAGTGTGGATGCAAATGGCTCTAGCCACCTCATGTCCCTGTGGCCATGCCTCCACAATAAACTGAATCCTCATAAACTGAATCCTCCCAAATCATAAACCAAAATAAACTCTTTCAGATGTTACTTTTCTCAGGTATTTGGTCACAGTAATTAGTTAGATGTAACTAGTATATCTCCCAGGCAGAATGTCAAAGCTTTGGCACTAAGTTGTATTAATACAATCCCCTTCCTTTGCTGCCAAACTAAGCCAAGAACCATAGCAACTGGAGCTGTTGCCCACACGTCATGCTAATGGTCGAACTTTGGCTGTGCAGGGGAAACTCCAGGACCACTGGAGTCCAAGGGTTATGTCTATTACTTGAAACACACAAGAACACAAATATCTAAGCAGATTTTAATCCACATCCTCCCATAGAATAAAGGTCTTCTGGGAATTAAAAGGAGATGTCCCTTCAGGCAGAGATCAAGCCAAGGTGTTCTCAAAGGGGCAGGCTGTAGGGCAGGGTACTGTCTGGACACATTAAGGCAAAGGAAGTATATTGAGGAATGACAGTCAAAGGGACAATGAGCCAGTCTCTTGGGTTAGATTTGTACATTTGGAAGAACAGGGACTGTGAGGAGATGGAAGGCCAGAAATCTGAACTTGAGGGTAAGGTCCAGATATTCATGTGGAAAGCCCTGATACACTGTTGAAGGGTGACAGAGCAGTACAGCAGGGTTAGAGACTGGAGGAGACAGAAGTTAGGTAAATCACAGTGTTCGGGACCACATACCAGGGCCAGCTCTCAGTTTACCTCCTTGTGAATGAACATGAGCACTGGATCTTTGAGGGGACACACTCTTACCCCTGGCTGGCAGGGGTGTGTTAGTCAGCTTTCTGTGACCGTGACAAAGCATTCAGGGAGACTCATGAGAAAGCAAGAATTGGTTTTGCTCAGGTCTCAGAGCTTTCAGTCCATGCTTACTCTGTCCCATTGTTTTGGGGACAATGGTGAGGAAGAAATGCATCTTTCAAGGCCCATGCCCCAACAATCTCACTTCCTTTCACTGGGCTCCTCCCTCCTATTCTTCTCAACAGTGTCTCCAGTGGGAAATAAAGGAAACTTTGGAGAACATCTAGGAACCAAATCATAACAAGTATCAGACTTAAAGACACATTGAAAGAACATGCTGCATGCAGGGAAACAAAGATGTCCTCCTAGACAGTCTAGTAAGAACACTGAACAAGAAACCAGCCAGGTGAGGTGCTTCATCCTTGAGATAGAAGAATCAGAAGTTCATAGTCATCTTCAGCTACATTCAAGGCCAGATATAAGACTCTAAAAAGAAGTAAGTGATAAAGACTAACAAAACAAGAGAATAATGAAATAAAGGAGGAGATGGGTGGAGGGGCCCCTTGTACCTCAAGAAGGAAGTACAAGTTACAGGTAAAGAACAGAAATTTATGTTAACATTAGATATTTTTAGACAAACATCTTATTTTAAAGTGGTCACAATGAACTATTCAAGGAAATGAACTTAGAACCAAGGATATTAATATTCAGCCAAAATTATTCAAATAGAAACTAACAAAACAAGAGAATAATGAAATAAAGGAGGAGATGGGTGGAGGGGGCCCTTGTACCTCTAGAAGGAAGTACAAGTTATAGGTAAAGAACAGAAATTTATGTTAACATTAGATATTTTTAGACAAACGTCTTATTTAAAAGTGGTCACAATGAAATATTCAAGGAAATGAACTTAGAACCAAGGATTTTAATATTCAGCCAAAATTATTCAAATAGATGATGAAGAGGAATCCTGAGCTCCAGTAGAAAAGGTGTTCTTGGAAAACAATCCTTCAAGAATGGTTAAGAAGGCAGGCGTTGGTGGCACATGCCTTTAATCCCAGCACCCGGGAGGCAGAGGCAGATGGATCTCTGTGAGTTCGAGGCCAGCCTGGTCTCCAGAGTGAGTGCCAGGATAGGCTCCAAAGCTACACAGAGAAACCCTGTCTCGGGGGAAAAAAAAAAAAACAAAACCAAAAAGAGTGGTTAAATCCAAAGCTACACAGAGAAACCCTGTCTCGGGGGAAAAAAAAAAAAAGAGTGGTTAAGAAAGAGACCCAAAGAAATGGCTCAGTGGTTAAGCGTGCTGGTTCTTTCTGCAGAGGACCCTGGTGCTATTCCTAGGATCCACATGGCAGCTCACAGCCATCTGCAACTCTAGTTCCACAGATCTGATGTCCTCTTCTGACCTCCATGTGCACTGTGCAAGCATGTGGTGTCCATACATTCATGCATGCAAAATGCTTACACATATAAAATAAATAAACAAATTTTAAATGGTTAAGGAAGGGCTAGGGGTATACTTTTGTGGCAGAATGCCTGCCTGCCATGCCCAAGGCCATGTGTTCAAGGCTTAGCATTGAAGCAAAGACTAGTAAGCAGATAAAATCGTGAAGACTTTGGTTCATTGGTGTAATGAATGAGAGAACAGGCAAAGACTAGACCCTGATCTGTGACTGCAATAGCAGATGGGTGCAGAAAGGAACTTGGAAGTGGATGATGATTGAGACAGGCAGGCAGACAGAAATCTAACAAACTTTCCATTTCTGTTCACAAGATGTTCAGTTTCTTAACCCTGCATGGATCCTCATTCCACATAGGCAGATGTGTATTCCACATGTCCTCACAGAGCCTATCTAAGCATTCATTTTCTTTTTATTTAATCATCATTCGCATAGTACCTGTGATATACCAGGAAGTGGGATAAAACAGCAAACAAAACAACCAATATCCATCCCTTTATGGAGGGCACATGACAGGCAGGAGAGCAAATGATAAAACAGAATAAACAAGAACTATGTGGTGTTTACTGACTGATCATCTCTACTGAAAGGGTGAGGCAGAATCAGGGAGATCAAGAATGCTCCTGTGAATACAGAGGGGTCAAGGAACCATGGAAAGGACCACAAAATCAACTAACCTGGGCTCATAGGGGCTCGCAGAGAATGAACCAACAATGAGGGAACCTGCATGAGACTGACTTAGGCACTCTGCATATATGTTATGGTTGTGTAGCTTGGCCCTCTTATGGGTCTCCTAACAGTGGGAGCAGGGGCTGTCTTTGACTCTTTTACTGGCTCTTGGAACCCAACTTCTCATACTGGGTTGCCTTCCCCAGCCTTAGTACAAGGGGAGGAGCTTAGTCTTACTGCAACTTGAAATGCCATGTTTTGTTGATACTCATAGGAGACCTGCCTTTTCCTGGATGATGACAGAAAAGGAGGGGATTGTGGGTGGGAGGGGAAATGGGGGAAAGGGACATTTAGGGGAGGATGGGGGGAGTCTGTGGCTGGGATATAAAACAAATAGACTAATTTTAAAAATAAAAAAAGAATGCTCCTGTGCGACACAAGGAAATCATTGCCGCTTTAAATGAGTGGCCATGGTATAGCTTCCTGAGAATGTAAATCAAGAGCAAACTCTCCCAGGAGGCAAGAACATGATAAAATAAGGAAACTGAGTGTTCACAACAGAGCTAAGGACCCAGGCAAAGACCCTGGAAGGAAACAAGGGAGACAGGGAAGCTATAGTGGAGTGTATAAGAGAAAGATGAGTAGAAGGTGAGCTCAAAAAAGAGAGTGCCCAGCATACCAGTGGCTTCCGAAGCAATATAAACACTTTGGGTTTTGTTCTGTGTAACAGATGCTTCTTGGATTCCCCCAAGGAATATCGTCACAAGTGTCCTCTGGGACTACCCAGCCCATGTGCCTTCTACAACTCTAATAATCCAATAAAGAAAGCAAGCCCTCTGCCCTCGTCCCCTCTCTCTCTCTCTCTCTCTCTCTCTCTCTCTCTCTCTCTCCCCTCATCAAAACAAAGACAGATTAATTTAGAATGACCTAACCTCTGTGGTACAAAACTATACACTGTTTACTAGGCAGCCAATTTAAACATAATAATTTATGCAATGAGTTATAAATAATTGACAGTGTGGTTGGAGTTTAACTTCCAACCCTTCTGCTCCAGGCACCAGTGGGGTTAGAAAACGCCTCCACTTCATGTTGCTTAAGTTTTCCACTGTGTTCATCACTCAGTCTCTGTTTTTCCCGAGAGTCCCACGCTGAGTGGCACCAACATAAGTCTCTCCAGACACTGGGGCAGACAAGTCTCTAATTCTCCATTCCTATCCATACCTTGTTACCAGGTTAGTGGAGTGCCTTCACCACTCTGCAGTGCTCAGACGGCGTGATTCCCCACTCACCATGAGTGTATCTGTGCAGTGCTAGAAACATTATGATCTCCTCTTTACCTCAGAAGACTCTGAAAAAAACTCCCTCTGTCCCCCATTAGGTGGCAG